GGGGAGGCATCCGCGTGGCCACCGGCGAAGCCACCACCGTAGCCACCACCCGCCGCCACCCCCAGCCCCGCGGGACACCCCCACGTCGGGTCTTCGCGTGTCCACAGCGCCAGGCTGAGGGGTTGGGACCTCAGCACCGGCCACGGGAGCATCCCACCAGCGGTGCCCATCACCCACCCCGCGGTCCATCCGGAGAGCCCCCGGTCCCTTCGCGGTGCCGTGAGGACGCTGATGCTCAGCTCGCCTGGAAAATCTCCCGCCTTCATCTTTTTGGCACCCAAAACGGGCAGCGCTGTTTATCCCCGCGTCGTGCCGCCGCGTCCCCACCGGCACATGGGGATTAACAGTCCTGACCTATTTCCCGGGGGGGTGCAGCAAGGCTTAATTCACTGAATGCTTGAGGAGTGCATAAGATCTGCAGATAGAGCCATTATGAAGTGCGAGATATCATTAATTAATTCACAGGTTGATATAGTTATGCGCTTAGATCATCATCAGCTGATCCTGCTAATCCCTTCTTGTGCAAGTACCTGTGCGAGGGGGAGCTGCTGCCTGGCATCGCTTCGCTCCTGCCGAGCTGGGCCGTCCCTGCGTCGTCCCCATGTGTCACCGAGGCCGGGGAGGGGTGGGGGGGGCAAGGGGTGGCCCCCAGTCCCTGTCCCTTAATAACCCCTGCCCCTAAATCCGCGTTTTCCCAGGGCGGTCCCGCTGGAGGGGAGATGCCTCCTGCTCTCCATCAGGGGATGGGACCCAGGGCTGCCTCCCCTTGAGCCAGGGGCTGAGATTTTTTCTCTTTAGAGTAATTATTTCAATAATCATTAAAAATAGTTAATTGTTACCCTGTTGACTTTGGGATCGCATTTAGCGCGGGCTTCCTCTGGCCTCCAGCCCAGTTTTGATAAGAAACACCCCCCACCATGTGCTGCTGGGAGCTGCTGGTGCTCACCAGGACCATTCGATTTTCACAAGCTCGCGATTAATTTTTTTAAAACCCAAAGTCTTCCTCTTCCTCAGCCGTCCCATCCAGCGGGCGGGTTTGCTCTGGGATGGAGCTGGAAGCCTCCAAACCCATACTGGGGAGAGCAAAGGAGACCCGCCTCCATCCCGCAGCCATACCCGGGGCTCAGCTCGCTGCCGCAGCCCCCCTAAATCCCCGGGACCGTGTGTTCCCACGGGGATTTCAACTCTCTTGGGCTCTGCAAAGTGATGCACGTACAGCGGGATGCCCGGCAGATGCAGGCGGAGAGGCCAGCGGTGCCGTGGGTACCACGTTACACCCCATCGAGCCCATCACACCTGAGCTCACCCCGCTCTATTTTCTCCTGCCCCCTTCCCGGACCTTCAAATGAAAAAAAAAAAAAAAAATAAAAAAAATAAAAAAGCCACGACAGTGGAAAGTCGAGCTAACAAATACAAATAAAACTTCCTCTGGATGCTAAAAATGACACACGTAGACAGAGAAAAAAAAATTACATCGGTGACAATAACAGAGCGCGGAGCTATTTCAGTGCTGGGCTGTTCCATTGCAGCACTCGGCGCTGGGGAGGTGGCTGCTGAAAACCAGCCACTTCCCCAGGGACGTGACGTATTTCCTTTCCATCACAAACTGATTTAGAAGCAAAACTTTCTACATTTAGGCAGCGAGAGGCTCAGCTTCTCTTTTCTCTCTCTCACTGATGGTGAGCGAATGGAAGGAGAGATAAAGGGGGTGGGACCAGCGTAAAGTGACTGTACGTGGCTTCCTCCTTTTTTTTTTTTTTCCCCCCCTTCTTTCTTTCTAAATTATCAAAAAGCCAACCAAAAAACCACAATTAATATTTTCCATGCCGTGAAGGCCTTGTGCGCACCCAAGTGAGAGTTTGTGGCTCCGGCCCGGCTGGTGCTGCTGCCGCGCCGTGTGTGTGCAGCCCTGCGTGTGCCCACAGCACGGCCAGCGGTGCCTTGGCCCGCGTCCCGGCAGGAGATCGTCCCGCCACAGTGCTCACTGCAGCCACTTGAGCAGAGTCCTGCTTTGGACCATCCCCATCCCTGTCCCCATCTTCATCCTCATCCCTCTCTCCATCCCCATCCCCGTCCCCATTCCATCCCCATTTCCATTTCCATTCCCATTCCCATCTCCATGTCCATGTCCATACCCATCTCCACCTCCATCCCCTTCTCTATCCCTACCCCATCCCCATCCTTATCTCCATCCCCATCCTCATTCCATCTCCCTCTCCCTCTCCCTCTCCCTCTCCCTCTCCCTCTCCCTCTCCCTCTCCCTCTCCCTCTCCCTCTCCCTCTCCCTCTCCCTCTCCCTCTCCCTCTCCCTCTCCCTCTCCCTCTCCCTCTCCCTCTCCCTCTCCCTCTCCCTCTCCCTCTCCCTCTCCCTCTCCCTCTCCCTCTCCCTCTCCCTCTCCCTCTCCCTCTCCCTCTCCCTCTCCCTCTCCCTCTCCCTCTCCCTCTCCCTCTCCCTCTCCCTCTCCCTCTCCCTCTCCCTCTCCCTCTCCCTCTCCCTCTCCCTCTCCCTCTCCCTCTCCCTCTCCCTCTCCCTCTCCCTCTCCCTCTCCCTCTCCCTCTCCCTCTCCCTCTCCCTCTCCCTCTCCCTCTCCCTCTCCCTCTCCCTCTCCCTCTCCCTCTCCCTCTCCCTCTCCCTCTCCCTCTCCCTCTCCCTCTCCCTCTCCCTCTCCCTCTCCCTCTCCCTCTCCCTCTCCCTCTCCCTCTCCCTCTCCCTCTCCCTCTCCACCTTCATCTCCCTCTCCACCTCCATCTCCATCCCCATCTCCATCTCCATCCCATCTCCACCCCCTCCCCATCCTCATCCCTGTCCCCATGAGTGACACACAGAGGAGAAAGAGCAGTTTGCCCCGCGAGAGCCCGCCCGGCTTGGACCAGGGAGACGCGGTGTGCGTCTTGCTCCTCCCATCTCCAGCTTAGATTAAAGCCAAGAACGATGGTGATAATTTCCTAGAAGGATAAACATCCGATTGCCTTTTCACTCCCGTTCCACCAAAAATAAACACCCCAGCCACAAGGAATTAAAGGCAGGGAGGAAAGGATGACTATAGCTTGACTGCAGGATGTCAACAAAGCGTGACCTTTCATTTACACCGGTCCCTCCGCATTAACCTAACGGGCCAATTACACCCTCAGCGGAGGGTAAGTATAGAAAAAGAGAAGGAGAAATCCAACTTTAGCAGACTTCCATGACATCTCTAACTGTCATTTCCTCTGCTGCTAATTTTAGCGCTGATGGCAAGCCGGGCAGTGTGTTTTGTATTTTTTTCCCTGGGTTGTGGTATGTTACCCAGCTTCCTTTTTTTATTATCTTGCTCTCTTCCCCTCTGTGTCCCGCAGCTTCCCCCGGCGGCGCGTGCCCGGGGCGAGCCGGGACCCCCGGTTCCCGCATCCTCCTTAGCATCTTTACAGCCCGTCACCCCGACCCTTCCCGGCGGGGACGTGAGGCCGGCAGAGCTTTGCAGGAACCATGCGATGCGCTTTCGGGCGGTGATTCAGCCCCTGCAAGGTAAACAGCCGTTTCCTGCTGGAGGGAAAGTCCCGGCCACGTTTAATCCCCCCCCCCATCCTCCCCGGTATGGAGCGAAAGCCGCTCTCGCTGCCGGGGAAGGCGACCAGCCGGGCGCAGGGATGGCGAAGGAGATGGCACAGACCCGTTTTCCCTCTTGCATGGGGAACAGGTTGCTCTGGGACAGACCCAGGGCTGGATGCAGGGGTGAGATGCGGCAACAGGAGCATCGCCATCCCCTCTGAACGATGCTAGAGCTCCCTGCGCAGCCGTCAGCAACTCCTTCCTTCGTGCCTCAGTTTCCCCTGCCCGCAAAATGCCCTCCCGGGGTCGTGCTCCCCACGGTTTCCTCAAAAGGCTCCTGGATGCCGCCCAGGCCACCGGCAGGACAAAATCGACTTTGTCACAGCGGAGCCACCAAGGACAGGCTGCAAGGATGACTTGCAGGCAGGTGAATCCAAGCCTCAGAGAAAACCAAGTCTTAGATGAAAGCCTAATTAAAGAGCTAATTAAAGGGGAGGTCCAGCTCAAGTGGCCAGTAGGCAGAGCTCTTCTGATTTATGGCTTTAATTTCGGTTTTGCTTTCCAAGAGAAGCGGGCTGAGGCAGCCAGCGAGGGCAAAGGCAGGGCAGGGAGGGAGTCAGGCCGGGGCAGTGCCCGGTTCCCACGCCGCGCGGTGCTGCCGAGGGACCCCCTGGTCAGCCGCCACGGTCCCGCTCCCGCCCCGGAGCCCCCCCGGGGGACATCGGGCCATGGCCAGCATCACCTGCATGAAGGTCTTGCCGGCGATCCCCTTGCCCAGCTGCAGGGGTATCCGCTCCATCCCATGCAGCTGCGCGGACCCCAGAGTGACCGGATTCGCCCGGTGCTGGCCCAGCATCACCCCGCGCTCGCTGCCGGCAAGGAGCCCATGCCACCCCGTGCGCTCCATCCGTGTTTTATTCCGAAAGCTGCAAGCATTAAAGCTCAAGACGCCCCGATGCGCCGGCGAGACATGCTGGGGGTCAGGCTAAAATTGGGGTGAGGGGAGGGGAAGAGGGTGATGCCATCCTTCCCGGGACACCCAGGGTGAGCCGGGACACGGCTCGGGATGTTACCCTCGGAGGGGAAGAGAAACCCCTGGGGGGTTTTGGAAGTGGAGCTGGGCTGGGAGAAGGTGGGTGCATCCTGGGGGGGGCCTCCTCTCGGTCTGGGCGGAGGCGGATTTGCGGTGCGGGACTGCAGCTGCGCGGGGGAAGGACGCGATGGCCGCCGCTAATCCTCGTAATATTTGGTGAGGAACTGGGTTGAGGCCACGGGGGAGCCCAGCCGAAACTGCTCCACAAAGCTCTCCATCGCCCAGGCACCTGCGGAGAGGGGGAGAGGGGGGGTGAGCTGGACTGGGAGGCATCCAGAGAGGAGGGGGGGGATGCTCCGGGGCTGGATCCAGGCTGGGGCTGCAAGCTGCATGCCATGCACCGACTGCTGCTCTGCCCGAGGCGCTGCAGACCACATCCTGCAAACAGCGGCAGGCGGGGAGGCACCGGGCTCTGCCCTGCGGGGCCGGAGGGCAGGGAGCAGTGGGGCGCCCAGCCCCGAGCATCCCCAGGGTGGGGGGTAAATGGCGTTGGCTCCTCTCCTGC